TAAGCGGGGTGACACCGTGATCTCGGAACTCCTGACCTTGAGCAATCCGCCCGCCTCGGCCTCCCAGAGAGCTAGGATTACAGGCGCGAGCCACCGCGCCCGGCCTGTGATGAACATCTTTACACATGTACATTTGCTCATTTATTTGATCTTTTCCTTAGGATGAATTCTTAAAAGTGGAATTTCTGAGACAAAGGATTTTGTTTTTAAATGTATGTTTTTGAGAGAGTTTCATCCTGTCACTCCGGCTGGAATGCTATGGCATCATCATCAGGGCTCCCTGCTACCTCAAACTCCTGGGCTCAACTCATCCTCCTGTCTCAGCTTCCCAAGTATCTGGCACTACAGGTTCCGCACCACCCGGTTAACTTCTCCATTTTTTGTAGAGACAGGGTCCAGCTCTTGGTCAGACTGGTCTCAAACTCCTGGCCTTAAGTGATCCTCCTGCCTTGGCCTCCCAGAGTGCTAGGATTACAACCATGAGCCACCTCACCTGGCCAGGATGATTAAACATTTCTAAATGTAGGTTTGTTGTTGTTGTTGTTGTGTTGTTGTTGTTGTTGTTTTGAGACAGAGTCTCACTTAGTTGCCCAGGCTAGAGTGAGTGACGTGGCGTCAGCCTAGCTCACAGCAACCTCAAACTCCTGGGCTCAAGCGATCCTACTGCCTCAGCCTCCTGAGTAGCTGGGACTACAGGCATGCGCCACCATGCCCGGCTAATTTTTTCTATATATATTAGTTGGCCAATTAATTTCTTTCTATTTATAGTAGAGACGGGTCTCACTCTTGCTCAGGCTGATTTTGAACTCCTGACCTTGAGCTGTTCGCCTGCCTCGGCCTCCCAGAGTGCTAGGATTACAGACGTGAGCCACCATGCCCGGCCTGTTTTTTTTTGTTTTTTTTTAAAGAAACAGTTTTTTAAAAAACTTAAGTCAAATAGATTGAGCACACTTCCAGTTCCTCCGGCAGCATGTGAGCACCTTGCTTCCCCTTCCTAGAACTGGGTGTCATAACTGTAGTTTCCTTCTTTTAGGGTTAGGATTTTTTTTTTAATTCAGGAGATTATGGGGGTACAAATATTTTGGTTACATGAAATGGGTTTGCCTCGCTCAAGCCAGGGTTACAAGCATGTTTTTCCCCCATACAGTGTGCCCCATTTCCATTAGCTGTGGATTTACTCCCCCACACCCCTGGTTAGAATATATTTGATTGGTATGTTTGCTTAAGATGTGCTGAGTTCAACCTGTGAAGGCTCTGCACTTGGCTGTGTTCTGAGAAGCACCCATTCCTCCCAGAGAGGATACAGAGATTCTAGCAGCTTCCTATCTTCTCTTAGACTCCTGGGACCTCCGCCACTCTACAGCTGCCTTCCAAAGTTTCCTCCCAGAGGTCCCCCAGAAGAGTCATTTGCTAAATCTGGCAACCCTATCCCCGATTCCCTTTCTACTTAAAGCTTTCAGTCTCCATTACCTCTTCCCTAGACTATAGTAATCACCTTCAAATCTCATCCCTAGGGTCCATTCTTAATACAGTGCTCTGGCCTTTATTCAAATCCCTCCTTGCTACTCTTAAAATTCCATCTAAACTCCTTAGCTTGGCCTTCAAAGCCTGCCAGATCTAGGCCTGGCCTTCCTCTTGGACCTCATTTCCTACTGCTTCCCTGTTCCCTGCAGCCTCCTGGTGGCTTCCTGGCAGGATAAGCTGGACCCGCCTCAGGGTCTTGATACTTATTTACCTGTGCTTTGAATGCTCTTCTTCCAGCGTGGGCAATAGTGAGACCCAATCTCTACAAAAATAAGAAAAATTAGCCAGGCGTGGTGGCACATACCTGTAGTCCCAGCTACTCAGGAGGCTGAGGCAGAAGAATCTTGTGGGCCTAGGAGTTGGAGGTTGTAGTAGCAGTGCTCAGGGCAAAAGAGAGAGAGACCGTATCTCAAAAATAAATAAATAAAATAATGCTCTTCTCCCAAAGCATCTCTGTTCAAATGTCACCACACTAGAGAGGACTTCACAGACAACCTTGTCTAAAATAATATCTTCCCTGCCCCTCACTCCCTTTCCTCCACCCCACTTTACTTTTCATATGCATATTACTCACCATTATTTTATTTTATTTATTTTTGAGACAGAGTCTCACTCTGTTGCCCAGGCTAGAGTGAGTGCTGTGGCATCAGCCTAGCTCACAGCAACCTCAAACTCCTGGGCTCAAGCAATCCTACTGCCTCAGCCTCCCGAGTAGCTGGGACTACAGGTATGTGCCACCATGACCAGCTAATTTTTTTTTTCGATATATATTAGTTGGCCAATTAATTGCTTTCTATTTATAGTAGAGACGGAGTCTCAATCTTGCTCAGGCTGGGAGTTTTTTATTAAATACTTTTTTTCCCAACATGATCTCCCTGGTTCTAGAATAATGCCTGACCATAGTAGACCTGAATTTGATAGGCTGTATCATACAGCAGTTACAGCACAAATGTGAGTTGAGTCTGTCCCTCGGGATTCAAGTCCCTGCTCTGCTCCTTTCCAGCCGTGCAACTTGGGACAAATTACTTAATAATCCCTTTTACCATCTGGAAAAAGGGGGGGATGATAATCTATTTAATAGGGTAATTGTGAGAATTAAGTGAATTTATTTGCATGAAAATACAGGTTGGTGCTTACTGTTTGTCATTATTTTATATATATATATGTATATACACACACACACACATACATATATTTTTTGAGACAGGGTCTCACTCTGCTGTGCAGGCTAGCGTGCAGTGATATCTGCAACTTCAAACTCTGGGCTCAAGCAATCATCCTGACTCAGTCTCCTGAGTAGTGGGAACTATAATTGCATGCCACCACACTCAGCTAATTTTCTTTTTCTTTTGTAGAGATGGGGTATGGCTATTGCCGAGGCTGGTCTCAAACTCCTGGCCTCAAGCAATCCTCCAGGCCTCGGCCTCCCAAATCACTGGGATTACAGGAATGAGTCTCTGTGCCCATCTTAACACTTTTGGAGTGAATTTAGCATATGTGGGTTTTTTCTATCATTCGCATATGCAGGCATCAGGCAAGGCCTAGCTATCGACATTTACCAGCACTCCGCAGATAATGGGCATACACGGGTGTGCACAGAAGTAAACAAGACAGATGTGAACCCATGGAATTATTCCTAGTGTTAACGCGCCAAGAAGCAAAAAAAGCACAGTATGTTATAGGAGATACAATGTAGTCTGAGGGCAGGGAAGGTTCTGGAGGCAGTGATGTGACCCTGGGACTCAGAATACATGTAGGCTATAACTGGGTGGAAGGAAAGAGTAGCAAGTGTGAGAAGGCTGAGTGGAGAACAGAGACTGAAAGAGACAATGATGGTTGGAGCATAGAGGGCTGGGGAGATGAAGCTGCAGAATTTGCCAGGGGCTCACCATGCAGGATCAGGGGTTTCAGAAAGGAGCTTCACAGGAGCCATGAAAGGCCTTGGAGTAGGAGGTTTGCACTTAGACAAGTTTCCCGTGGCTGCTGTGTGGAGAAACCATCTTCAGGTCTTTGTTCAACTGCCACCTCATCAGAGACCCCCTTGTCTAAAATGGTCACAAGGAGATCAGTTAGGAGCCTGGTGCAGATTGCCAAGGATCCAGAATTTTTACTTGTCAGAATGGTTAGAGCAGCTGTTGGGATAGAAGAGAGCAGGAGGCTGGAGGACTCCGTTCATTCATCTGGAAGCCTCATTTGCATAGCACTTTACATAAGCCTGAGAAGCATCAATTGTCCCAATCAGGCTGGGCAAGGTGGCTCATGCCTGTAATCCTAGCACTCTGGGAAGCATCCTCTGGGAGGATGGCTTGAGCTCAGGAATTCAAGACTGGCCCAAGCAACAGCAAGACCCTGTCTCTACAAAAAATAGAAAAAATTAGTCAGGCATGGTGGTGCGCACCTGTAGTCCCAGCTACTTGGAAGACTGAGGCAGGAGGATTGCTTAAGTCCAGGAGTTGGAGGTTGCAATGAGCTATGATGATGCCACTGCATCCTAGCCCATATAACACAGTGAGACCCTGGACACTGTCTCCAAAAAAGAAAAAATTAAAGAAAGAAATGCGCCGGGCGTGGTGGCTCACGCCTGTAATCCTAGCACTCTGGGAGGCTGAGGCGGGCGGATTGCTCGAGGTCAGGAGTTTCAACCAAAGCCGAAGCAATAGCAAGACCCGTCTCTACTATAAATAGAAAGAAATTAATTGGCCAACTAATATATATATATAATTAGCCAGGCATGGTGGCGCATGCCTGTAGTCCCAGCTACTCGGGAGGCTGAGGCAGAAGGATTGCTTGAGCCCAGGAGTTTGAGGTTGCTGTGAGCTAGGCTGACGCCACGGCACTCACTCTAGCCCTGGGCACAAGTGAGAACTCTGTGGAAAGAAAGAAAGAAGGAAAAGAAAGAAAGAAGAAGAGAGAGGAGAGAGATGAGAAGAGAGAGAGAGAGAGAGAGAGAGAAAGAGAGAAGAAAGAAAGAAAGAAAGAAAGAAAGAAAGAAAGAAAGAAAGAAAGAAAGAAAGAAAGAAAAGAAAGAAAGAAAGAAATGCTTACATACAAATACTTTCTGGTTACAAGCTGGCTCCCTCACCTCACCCAGATGGTTCCATAACCCCCAGCCACTTCTAGCAGTGAAAAGCCCAGGCAAGGGAAGGGTCCTGGAAACTTAAGCATCATCAGGTTTATGGTATCTGCTTCTGCCCTTGAGAACACACTGGATGAGAGAAGGCAGTTGGGGACAGGATTCTTAGGAACTGCAACAATTGATAGAGGGGTCCAGAAATGTCCTGTAAGAGAGACTGAGACGAAGAGGCCAGGGAGACAGGTAGGAGGAGCCTGAGAAAGGCTGGCTTCACAGAAGGAACGGCTGTTGGAGGATCATCATCACCAGCAATCAACTCTGCCAAGTTCTGCTAATTCTTCCTTTTCAGTGTCTCTGCCCACCCCCATCTCCACTGCCACCTCCTGGCCAGTGGCTCCCTTACACCTGAGTGATTGCTCATCTCTGTATCTCCACCTCGAAGCTCCTGTTACAGCCACACCATCCATGCATCCTGTTGTATCACTCTTTGTAAAGTGGAGCTTAGGCCATGCCAATGCCCTGCCCCAAAACTTTCCATAGCTCCCTGTCACCTTTGAACTAATGCTCCATACCTACCCTTTAGCCACTTGTATCCAGGTGACCTCTGTGACAGCAATGCAACCTGCACCCTCATAAAGAAGACAAGCTGATCTATTCAATTTCCCCCAGCCTTTGACCTTGTTGAGGCTGGGTCATCTTCCTGGAGTGCCTACCTTCCTATCTAAATTTTTCAAGGCCAAGCTCAAATGATACCTTCTCTAGAAAGCCTTCTCGTATACCCTACTGGGTATCCACTCTGACCCTTGGTGAGTTCTTTGACCACCCTTCTCCCTCAGGCATCACAACATTCTGTGGTGACTTACCAAGCTCACAGCTCAACATCCCAATGATATTACATTCTTGAGGGCAGGGACTATGCCATCTTGACCCTCCTGTTTCTCCCACTGTACCCATCAGGGCAGGCAGGAGGCAGGCAGAGGGAATGCTGGTCAGGAGAACATGCTCACTGACATTCTTGATTATGAATAAGAGATTGCAAATTTAACTGCCCTCAGGAGCCAGATATAAGTAGATATGACAAATGTGTTAAGTTGCCCAGAGTAAGACAATTAGAAATGGTGGGGACCGTGGCAAGTTGGAGACCTCATTCTCCTGCGTGAAGTATTAATAATACTAAAAACTGAAAAAATTATCCAGGCATGGTGGTGCACACCTGTAGTCCCAGCTACTTGGGAGGCTGAGGTGAGAGGATCTCTTGAGCTCAGGAGTCTGAGGTTGTACTGAGCTAAGATGACACTACTGCACTCTAGCCAGGGCAACAGAGTGAGACTCTGTCTTTCTTTTTTTGTTTTTTTCTCTTTTTTTTTTGAGACAGAGTCTCACTTTGTTGCCCAGGCTAGAGTGAGTGCCGTGCCATCAGGCTAGCTTACAGCAACCTCAAACTCCTGGGCTCAAGTGATCATTCTGCCTCAGCCTCCCAGGTAGCTGGGACTACAGGCATGCGCTACCATGCCCAGCTAATTTTTTCGAACTCCTGACCTTGAGCAATTCGCCCGCCTCGGCCTCCCAGAGTGCTAGGATTACAGGTGTGAGCCACCGCGCCCGGCCTTTTTCTATATATATTAGTTGGCCAATTAATTTCTTTCTATTTATAATAGAGGCGGGGTCTCGATCTTGTTCAGGCTGGTTTCGAACTCCTGACCTCGAGTAATCTGCCCGCCTTGGCCTCCCAGAGTGCTAGAATTACAGGCGTAAGCCACCATGCTGGGCCGAGACTCTGTCTTTTTTTTTGAGACAGAGTCTCACTTTGTTGTCCAGGCTAGAGTGAGTGCAGTGGCATCAGCCTAGCTCACAGCAACCTCAATCTCTGGGCTCAAGCGATCCTACTGCCCTAGCCTCCTGAGTAGCTGGGACTACAGGCATGAGCCACCATGCCCGGCTAATTTTTTCTATATATTTTTAGTTGGCCAATTAATTTCTTTCTATTTTTTAGTAGAGATGGGGTCTCGCTCTTGTTCAGGCTGGTTTCGAACTCCTGACCTTGAGCGATCCTCCCGCCTTGGCCTCCCAGAGTGCTAGGATTACAGGAGAGCAACTGACTTTAGAGATGAGGGAAGTGAGGCTTGAAAAAGTAAGTGAATTACTCAAGGTCACATAGCAAGGAATTAGTAGCATAAGCCTAGGTGCAACCTATGCAGACTCTGGCCTTGCTTACTCTCTTCTGAGGGTTATGGGAGGAGGGACTAAAAGGATGGGTATCCTCCAATTTTCACTCAGCTCAAATTCCATCTGTAAAATGGGACCGAAAATCCCTTCTTCACAGGGAAGAGGTAAACTGTGTGGAGCAAGGGGAAGAACTGCATGAGGCCGAGTGTGGTGACTTATGTCTGTAATCCTAGCACTTTGGGAGGCCAAGGCAGGAGGATCGCTTGAGGTCAGGAATTCAAGACCAACCTCAGCAGGAAAGAGAACTGTCTCTACTAAAAATAGAAAGAATTATCTGGGTGTGGTGGTCAGGCCTGTAGTCCCAGCTACTCAGCTACTGGGAGGCTGAGGCAGGATTGTTTGAGTCTAGGAGTTTGAAGTTGCTGTGAGCTAGGCTGATGCCATAGTACTCTAGCCCTGGCAAGAGAGCGAGACTCTGTTTAAAAAAAAAAAATTCAGAGAAATCTGAGTTGTAAATCATAAAAAAGAAATTTAAAAAGATAATAAAGAACTGAATGAGGCCGGGCGTGGTGGCTGACGCCTATAATCCCAGCTCTCTGGGAGGCTGAGGCGGGCGGATTGCTCAAGGTCAGGAGTTCGAAACCAGCCTGAGCGAGAGCAAGACCCGTCTCCACTATAAATAGAAAGAAATTAATTGGCCAACTATATATATAGAAAAAATTAGCCGGGCATGGTGGCACATGCCTGTAGTCCCAGCTATTCTACTCGGGAGGCTGAGGCAGGAGGATTGCTTAAGCCTAGGAGTTTGAAGTTGCTGTGAGCTAGGCTGAAGCCACAGCACTCACTCTAGCCTGGGAAACAGAGACTCTGTCTCAAAAAAAAAAAACTGAATGAAAGCTTTATCAAGGGGCGGGTACAATGGCTCACACCTGTAGTCCCAACTACATGGGAGGCTGAGGCAGGAGGATCCCTTAAGCCCAGGAGTTTGAGGTTACAGTGAGCTACAATCATGTCAGTGCACTGTAGCCAGGGCAATAGAGAGAGACACTGTTTCAAAAAGAAATAAAGCTTTATCCGGGTATCCTAACCTGGTCTCCTAGGGTGGGCGTTAGGTAGTAAAATTTGTCAAAACGTGCATTCTTGTGCTTTAGTCTGCTCGGCTGTGAATATGGGCTTTGGACTCTATCACTCTTTAACCTCTAACCTTAATTCATTTGTAAAATGAAACACTGTTAGGGTTAAAAGAGATAATCAATGCACAAAGTAGCTTCAGTAGAAGGTAGCTGTTATTTATCGCTCTATTCTGGGGTGAGGGTATCAAATTCTCTAAGGCAGCGGTCCTCAACCCTTTTGGCATCAGGGACCGGTTTCATGAGAGACAATTTTTCCACAGACAAGGCAGGAGGGAGCTCAGGTGGTGATGCGAACGATGGGGAGAGGCTATACAGACAGATAAAACTTCGCTTGCTCGCCCCCCTTCTCACCCCGTTGTGCGACACCCCGGTTCCTATGTTTAATGGAAGATAATTTTTCCACGGACAGAGGGTGGGGCCCGGTCCCTAAGAGGCCGAGGTACTGGTTCGGGGCCTGGGGTTTCGGGACCGCAGTTCTAAGGGATTCTTAACCTACAAAGTTTGTGAACAGATAGCACAGGTATTTGAAAGCTATCAGGAAACTATCGTCATGTAAAAACGAGGCAGCGCTACGGAAGTAGGCTGCCATGGGAACCAGAGGGTCCAGGGTCCACTAGTAACTTACTTCAGCTCACTGGGTGATCGGTAAAAACAAAAAAGAGAGAGAGAGAGGTTGTGGTGGTCTGAGTTGGCCGCCGCAATGCAGCCCGAGGTAGCTTCAGTGGCAGAGGATATACACGCTCCTCTGCGGGGCAGGAGCGGAGCCTCCAGGCGGACTACCTCTCCCAGCCTGCTTTGCGCTCGGGAGGCACCCTACGCGAACACGCGAGCCTCCCCGCCCCCCGACCTCCAGTTACTGTCTCTCGCGAGAGGACGGGCCGCGCCGGCGGTAGCGATAGCGAGCTGTGGTGGTTGTGGTGGTGGTGGTGGCGGCCGAGACGGCGGCGGCCATTTTGGTGAGGCCTCGGGAGCGGCGGCGGCGGTTCGCTGGGAGTAGCGTCTCCTCTTTTCCCCACCCACCGTCCGCATCTCTGTGCCGTGAGAGGTGGCAGTGGCAGCAAGGCGGTGGCAATAGCCGCGGTCCCCAGGGGAGTTTAAGGGCCGCGAAGGCGGCGGCCAAGAGGGGGCCCTCCCCCCTCCTCGACGGGAGGGGGGTGGTGCGCACGCCCCCGAGGACGCAGGTAAGGAGAGGGAGACAAGATGGCGGACACTCCACAGTTCCCCCTCCCCTGACGGGTGACTGCGCGCGCATCTTTCCGCCACCGCCTCCCCTCCCACCTTCCCGGGGTGCTGCGCGCGCACCTTCAGCCGGGGCCCCGGGGCCGGTGCGTGAGGCTGTCGGCGCGCGCCCATAGAGACAGGCTGAGGGGGTCAGGCCGGCCGGCACTGGGCCCGGGCGCGTCTCCTCTCCCGCCCTTCTGCGCACGCGTGTCTGAGCGAGCGAGGGAGCCCTGAGAGGACAGACCCAGGTGCGCTCTTGCCCGCCCACCAACCCCAGTCCCCCCTGAGGGGCGCGCGGGAAGAGGAAGGGGGGCGTGGGACGAGTAGTCGGGGCACGCGCCCACCATGTCCAGTCAGGGGACCAGGACCTGGCGGCACGCACCCTCCCTCTCTCAGCCTTTCGCGGTCTGGTGATGGGGGTGCTCCCTGACGGGCTTGGATGAGGGGCTTCTGAGTCTGCGACCCATGGGTGCCTGGGTTTGGGTTCTGGCGGGAGCCCCCGGGCCGTGCGCGCAGCCGGCTCACTTCACCTCCAGCCGCGCACGCGCGGGCCCCTCCCCCAGTCGGGCGCGCACGTTGGGTGGGGTGGGAGTCTAAGAGGGGGCGGGGCTATCTTAGGGCTAGTGGCAACTTGGGCAGAGGTCAGGGGTCACGCCGGGTCAGTTGGCTGGGAGTGGTTGGGAGACAGTGATGAAGACTGGGGTCAAGAGTTCAGGCTTCTTGGTTTCTGACTAGCTCGGTTCCCGGGAATATGTTGTGGAGGGAGTGCATCAAAGGCGGCACCATGGTTAAGGAATTTCCTTAAACACTGGGGAAACACTTCCGGGCCTTGTGTGGGTTAACCCTGCCTTTTTCCGGCGCATGGTTCTTGGCAGTGCGGCCTCCCTCACATTTGACTGCTTCTTAATGTCTCCTGTTGTAGTTCTTGTGTTTGGTGAAGTGGCTCATGGCGCAGGTATAGGATTCACAGGGCCCTTCCCTGAATCCTGGGTGGATTCTCCTGTGGCCAACATGTTTTGTTTTGTTTTTCCTGGGAATTCCAGTCTTCTGACTGTGTTCAGTTGTCACTGGAAAGGCAAGCAGGCAGCCAGCACCTTTTTGAGCTTTTGGATGTGACAGCTTTTTTTTTTTTTTGCTTTATTACTTGCCCTTCATTCTGTAATTGGAGCCCTTTCCACTGCAGGTGTTTGAACTTTCTTTTTGCGTCACTTCTCCCCCCTCCAGGCAGAATCCTATGTCCCTACGGAATTTTTTTTTTTTTTTTTTTTTTACAAAGCATGATTGTTTTTAATTTGAAATGTGAGCTTCTCCTACTATAGCGTTTCTTTTCTTAGCCTTTGCACTGATTTGGGTATATTTAAAAGTCTCAAAAAGCTGAAGTAAGTAGTAAACTTGGATGGATGTTCAAATGTGGATTAGTTCCTCACTGCTGTTTTCCTCCTCTTCTATTTCAGGCGTGATTCCTCTCAGTACGGCGGCACCGTGGAAGTGCAGACTTTCACAGGGGGTGTGGTCTCAGCTCACACAGGTGAGGAGTTTGATGCCATTTTTTGTATTGAGGCTAATGGGAAATATGTTTGAGATAATGAAAAAAAATTATAGGTCAGCACTTGTGGATTTTTCACTCTAGAGAGCTATGGAAATATTTGCACATGTTTTTCTGTGGAAGTTTTGTTTACAGTAGTGCAGCATAACTGGGGCTGTGGATTGAGGAATATTTGGTCACCCTGGCTCTAACAGGGAGAGTAGCAGGTTCTCCTGTGGATTTGACATCGGGCTATCTGGTGTCAAGTCCTCCTTCTACCACTTCCTTACTGTGTGATCTTCTGTAAGTTGTAAGGTCTTGACTTCCTAACTTAAAAGTAGAGATAATATTAGAATGTAAGCTCCATTTAGGTCAGGGATCTTTTCTACGTGGCTCTGTCCTCAGTGTGTAGAAAAAACTAAATATATATTTAGTATGGTGTGAAAAGTATTTTGTTCATAGAGTAGATAGATGTGAAGGTTGTAGAACAGAAAGTGTCTGACACATAGTAAATGCTTAAGATATGTAGGCTATAATCACCATTCTTTATTCTTTAATGTCATTCCTGTTTTTTTCCAAATAATTCTTTAATCTCTTTTAATCCAATTTACACCCTTTTTAAAAATCCTGCTTTAGGTGCTCCAGAGGCTGGTGGACCTGAGCGGAGGCTGGGACGCCCTGGTGGGCCCCGGGCCCTGGAAGGTGGGTCCCGGTGGCCGGTGGCCCAGAATGAGGCCAGCTCCCAGCATGCCCTGCAGCCGGACGCCAGCCCCTCGGCCAGCAGCAGTGGTGATAACGACCCAGTCATTCTTCAGGCATCCAACAAGGAGCCTGGGAGTGGGACCATGCAGAGCAGCCCCTCCCCTGCTCACCCTCAGCTCCCAATCCTACAGACACAGGTTTGTTCTTTTTTTTTTTCCTTCAGTAATCAAGAGCAGGTACAGGCACAGATTCAAAAGTGGGGAGGGTTTCTTCTTTGCTTCTGCTTTGTGTATTGTTGGGTTTGAGGTGGAAGAAATGTGGCAGTTTCTAGCTATTGGGTAGTTGAGTCTAGAGTATCTTTGGTACTTAACGTGGGCTGGGCTGTAGTATGTCATGCCCGTTTGATACTCACATTTTATTTGACATTAATGTAATATTGATTTCCAAGAGTACAAAGACTTCTTATTACCTAAAAAAAAGGTTGAATTAATCCAGGTTAGAAATGGAGGTTGGGGCAACACGCCTTTAAGACTATATACTTTGAGAATAGTTCACTTCTTTCAAAACTGGAACAGGATAAGCCTTGTGGCTGGTGTGTAATGTTCATTCTTTTCTCATACCAAGGAAGTGTGTGTGGTAGGAAAAACATGCCTTTCAGAACTGGACAGATCTAGGTTTATATACAGAAGGCTTTTGATGTCTACGGATTTGATATTTATAATTTTCTGAGCATGTAGGAAAATTTGTGATGGATAGTCTTTTGTCATTTAACTGAGGTAGGAATTTGAGTGGTGTGGTGTGATGCTTATGTCCTGGAATGAATTTCGTGAATTCCTTGAGTACCCTGATGTTTCAGTAGGATTTTGTTTCTACTCGTTATTGCTTATGCAGTACCTTGTAAGGTGATGTGTGGGTGTGTGAGAACAGTGACCATTCCCCCAACCTCCACCTCTCCAGTGAAGAGGTTTTAAGTGGCATGGGGTTTTTTGGTGTCTGTTGACTTTAGTGGTAGTTCAGATTTATTGCATAGGTGAATCTGCCATACTTGCTGTGAAAGTGGGGGAAAAGATAAGGAGTTATTTCTGTGAGTGAAATTATTGAGGCTCTGAAAGGATCACAATTTGAAATCTTATGTTCTATTAGTATTTTTGAATTTGGGAACTGTGTAAATGTCAGGACATAATTCCTGCATGTCAAGCATTTACTATAAACTTGGCTCTGCTACCTTGAGTCCCATATTAAACTTTAACCTAAACATTTGTGTTTATACATATAAGATTGATGTCTTACTCTCCAGTTTTTTCTTGTGAAGATAGAAAAAAATAATGTACTTAAAACATTTAGCAGAGGCCAGGCGCGGGGGCTCACGCCTGTAATCCTAGCACTCTGGGAGGCCGAGGCGGGTGGATTGCTGGAGGTCAGGAGTTCGAAACCAGCCTGAGCAAGAGCGAGACCCCGTCTCTACTATAAATAGAAAGAAATTAATTGGCCAACTAATATATATAAAAAAAAATAATTAGCTAGGCATGGTGGCACATGCCTGTAGTCCCAGCTACTTGGGAGGCTGAGGCAGGAGGATCACTTGAGCCCAGGAGTTTGAGGTTGTTGTGAGCTAGGCTGACGCCACGGCACTCACTCTAGACTGGGCAACAAATCGAGACTCTGTCTAAAAAAAAAAAAAAAAAAAACATTTAGCAGAGTGCTAAGCATTTGCTTTTTCCATTTTCCTCTTTTCTAGATGGTGTCGGACGGCATGACAGGCAGCAATCCTGTGTCCCCTGCCTCATCCAGTTCCCCAGCCTCTAGTGGGGCAGGCGGCATCTCCCCCCAGCACATAGCTCAAGATTCCTCTCTGGATGGACCTCCAGGCCCCCCAGATGGTGCCACAGTACCACTGGAGGGGCTCAGCTTACCCCAGGCTTCTGACCTGACTAACAAGGGTCCAAAGTGGGAGAAGAGCCATGCTGAAATTGCAGAGCAGGCCAAGCACGTATGTATTGGGAAAGCCTATGAGGATTCTTGGGAATTGTTCCCTGAGCTCTCATATCCCATGGATATTTTGTGTTTGTTTTATTTTTTGTTGTGGGCTTAGAGTTTAGGCTCTGCCTTAACTTATATGTCTTTGAGGACATTGCTTAAACACTGTGCCTCACTTTACTTTGCTTTAAATGAAATAGGGATGTTATGATAGTATATAGGCAGTTATGAAGTTTAAATTAAAGGAGTAAATAGACATGAAAATGCTTTGTGAACTATGATATTCCTAAAATTTACTGATTTCTACTTATTTCTATTTTGCAGTTTGTGTTACATTTATTCAGTGGTAAATTTGGTTCTTGGGCCAGCAGCATCAGAATCAACTGGGAACTTGTTAGAAATGCAAATTCTTGGTACCCTCCTCTAAGCTACCATTGTAAAACTCTGGGGTTGGGACCTAGTAATCTGTTTTAAGAAGCCCTCCAGATGATTCTGGTACTTGCTAGATGAGCAAGTTATCCTGAGTTTAAGTCACCTCTGTTAAAGAAAAATGCTTTTATTTTTTCTTATCATGAGATATAATTAATGTAGAAATTTTGGTAAA